TAATTTAACTAACAAATAGACAATCATAATCTTGAATTCTTAGGAATATTCTTGCATTTTTGATCATGGCATTCACCTGATAAAAGATAAGAAGTAGCTGGGAGAAATTTAGAGAAAGGGAGTGAGAAAGTTCCAGGAAAGGAACTTACAGAAAAGTTTTAGAAAATTCAGATCTTTACTGAGGTCAGACAAAGGAGCTAATAACACGATCATAATCAGGTAGAGTGAACACCCAGTTTTTAAAGACTTCCTTGAAGTTGCTTTCTATGCTAAGAAATCTGACACAGTGCCTAGCGTATGACACAGTCTCAAAATGGAAAATTGAGCAATAGTGGGAAAGAATTCGCATGTCTCAAAACAAGGTCAGTGAACTGTAGTACCAGGCACATGGTGCTTACGTAGAGGGAGGAAGAAGGTCAATTCATTCCTAGGGCAGGTGTCGAACTCATACTCCATGTGACAAATAGTTTCTCTGGGAGGTGATTTTGCTAGCCATCCCATATCTTTTGAAAACAAATGTGGTTAGCATATCATGAAAGCACACCTCCATGCAGTAAAAACAGCTTTGATTTCCCCACTGTTCTTTATGGTTTTGTGCATGGAGTTATGATTCTAACTTTTCCCCTCATGAAGCCCATGAATTTCCATGCTTATTCTTAGGTGTCAAGTTATTGACAACGACTAGGTCATAAATATAGACAGAGGATGAGAAAAGCCGGCTCTGGTTACTACAACAGTAAATGTGTTTACTGTTAATGCTCCCCTCTCCCCCTGCATTCTTCCTCCCAGCTCCAGGACCTGATTTATGGCTGATCTCTCAGTAAGGCAGGTGCGATTATCCATCTCCTGATTTCATGCTTCCACTCCTTTTTGTCCATCTTAAGAGCTGCTGGTCCAACATCACAGGAGTCTGGTGAGACAGGTACCATAAAGAAGAGATTATATAATACATACTTGGTACTGGAACTAGTCTTGTTGCCGTTTGCTCACTCTAGCCTAGCAGATGACCCATTTCCCTAGCACCTGTATCTCTTTTGACACTTCCTGACTTTCTTGTCATTTGTCTTTCTCCAATATGTCCCTTCACTTAGCCGGGATTATTTTATTGCTTTGCTTAGGTGGTTTCTGATATCACTGGCTCTTTTGTGGAGGAATCAGGGAGTGTGTCTTTAAGCTGCTTCATCCTCTTTCCAGGTGGTTCTATTGGATAGGATCCATTAAATACCCATTATGGCTCACAGTGTCTTGGATCCCAAAGATCTAGTGAAGGGTGCTTATCCTTCCCTTGCTTAGGACTGCCATGCATTAGGAGGCAGCAGCATTCTTCTGGCTCTGCCTCCAAAGCAGCCAGCTGTTCATTGCCTCTTAGGTCCCAGTGGGCAGGAACACAGACCTGGCTCTGGATCAGTTTCAGTTACTTTCAGCCTTGGGAAACAGTCATGCTTTTTTTCTTAGAGTCTCACTAGCCCAAGGGTAGAGCCAGGTGCCTCCCTTCAACTCCCTGACAGCATGTGAAGTTTGGCAAATACCACCCACCGTCTGCTAAAAGTTCCTTTCTCTGGCTCATCTTCACTCCCTGGCTCTCCTGTGTCCTCCTATGTTTGAGCTGCCCAAAGAGGAACCTCCTAATCTCAAGGCCATTTACTTTGAAGAATTTAATCTAATTTGGCATCTTTTTTTTTTTTTTTAAATTGCAGCTATTTAATTTTGTTGCCTGGTGGAGACTATAGCTTTCAGATCCTCTTACACAAGTAATAAACAAACATGATTCATGGACCACAGTCCAGTGGTTTAACATCTGGCTCTACTAAACATTTTGATTTCTGGGTGTGTGTTGTATGAAAATATTTAGAGACTGGTGTATCATAACTCTTGAAGAATTTTACTTAATCTCTGAGCAGCTCTGCTATTTAGCATTTGTCGACAGAATATGTACGCATACGGAGTTCATAAAGTAATTTGGAAAGAAGTGATTTCCTGAGTGCATGCAACTGAGATCTTTTCTATGGAAACAGATTCACTCTCCAAGTGCATGACAGGGATCTTGGTCACAAAGAGCTCTTCTAGCCTCAGAGAGTGGTGAAGACATGATTCTAGACCAAAGACAAGAGGAAGGGGAAGACATTCTACAACGCTGAGCCACTAGCAGGCAAATTCCCCTGCAGTAACTTCCTCCCCAGCTGACTACTCAAACACAGGCTTATAGGACAGCATAGTTCAGTGAAACCTGAAGGGAAGAGACAGTGGCGTTCTTAGGGTGAAGACAGTCACTGTGAGATTCTCAGATGTGGTGCAGCGAAGTCACATGGCCGCTGCTTGCCTCTGGCTTTTGCAGTTAACATTGAGAGCCAAGCTGGGCATGCTGGCACAATCCTTTAATCCTAGCACTTGGGAGGCAGAGGCAGGAGGATCTCTGTGAGTTTGAAGCTAGCCTGGTCTACAAAGAGAGTTCAGAACAGGCAAGGCTACACAGAAAAACCCTGTTTTGAAAAACCAAAAAAAAAAAAAAAAGATCAAGAGCTGTGAATTGTAGGGATTTTTTTTTTTTCTCTAACTGTTTGTATAAAACTGGGCAGGGAAATAGTTGCAGAAAACCAAACGAGAATCATCTTTCTTTCATTTATCAGGAGACTTAAATCATGGACTTGGACTATTTACTCTGGGTTTGGTTCGCTAACATGGCAACTCTCTAAGCTGCAGTTCACCGCTTATAACTAAATCCATCCTGCTTCCACTAAGAGTCTGATGTTCTTCCTGTGGCCCATCTTGCAACCTCCTTGAGATTCTTAAATTTTGTGAAGTCATGGCAGAGGAGATGCTGTCAAACTTCTCTTCCCGTGTACTTTGCTCAGTGTTTGGTTCTTGGGTATCTGAAGGTGAACTCTATGATGCAATGTGCCTTTTCACTTCGTACTGTGGGTTTGGTACTCATAGGTCGCCATCTGTTCAGAGAATGATGAGAATCCACTTTCTGGGGTGGATCCCCTTGAGGGATCCCTCCTGCCAACCCCAGGTGACTTAATCACAGCCACCTCATAGGCTCTGTCTACATCTTGTTAGGTATATTTAGTCCTCTTTTTCACCCACCCCAATCATCATCTAAGTGGCCATTAAGATCAACTAACCCACCCACACATTCTATGGAAATGTGTAGAGACTTTTAAGCACCTTTCTTAAAGTTACAGGGCTTAAAAAATTATTTTATTCTCTTCATCTCAGAGGAGAACTCAGGTGACTGAATTCCCTGTTCAATGTTGTTTCGTTGTATCTCCTCTCAAACACAGCAATTTTGCCTCTAATACACACTGCAAAACTCCTTAAAAGTCTTTTGTATATATTAATAAAGGTGCCTTCATGTTATAGCAACCCCAAAGCTGAACAAATGCTTATTCAACTGCTGTGAAGTCAGTCTTCTAAACAACACAAGTTAAAAAAAATAAAAGATAGAATCCCCTAGTTTCTAGTAGGTTCTAATTGGGGGAAGAATGATGTATTCTGTATTCTGTTTGTGATCAGGTATAATTCTGGCAACTTTGGAACTGAGCTTATCACTAATGAAAATCAACCCACCTGTAACTTAATGACACTCAGGTTTCTTCTGAACATCATCAGTATTCAGTATAACTTCTCAGGTTGAAGCTATAGGGAACACATGTGATTATGTCATCAGTATTGAGTATGACATGTCAGGCCGGAAGACATAGGGACCACAGGAGATTTGTTGTTACGTTGCTCACTAATAATATGTGACATAATATGTGAGCTCATGTAGCAATTCAGAGTGTCATATTTTCCACATAAAGAACTGAGGTTCAAACTCCATTATGTGACTTGCCCAGAACGGTTCAGTTGGTAGCAGAATGACAAGGTCTTGTAGCCAAATTGGCTACTGTGGAACCACAGGCTTCCTCCAGCCTGCACAAGCAAGGCTATAATAAAACGGGGGGAAACAACCAGGACAAAACAGCCTGGTTGCAAATTATAGCTTTGGCACAGTAAAGTTTGGACATCCTCAATGGGCTGTTTGTGAGATAGCTTCTTCTTCTTTTTTTTTTTTTTTTTGTGAGAGGTTTCTGAAAGTCTCAACTACTTGTATGTCTCCCTTAGAGCTGTGTAAAATATTTTATGTAAGAAAAAAGATTCTTTGTAGTGGAGGAAAAATTTGCAGAGGTGAGGAGTGGGTGGGATAGGCACTCTCAAGATATTTGTGTTGGTTTGGCTTTATTTATCTATGAATTGGGCCTGAAGCAAGAGTCAACGTAGGACAGATGGTAAGGACCTCATTTGAAATGGAAGTTCACATTCACCATTGTCCTCCACAGCCAGGTTCATTTACCAGGTCACTGAGCCCTGGTAAATGAAATAACAAGACTGAGGAGAAAGCTGTTTGCTGAGACTCTTGCTTATTAGACACTCAGGCAGGATGTGACTGAGGCGAACCTGACATCATGGGGTTTGTCCCTCAGCTTTCTGCCACAAATCTCCAGTGCATCATGGCAGCGTGTTATTCTTTGTATTTTTCCATGGAAGTAGGAGAAACCACAGTAGGGCTGTGACAAATCTATCTGTGTAACTTAAGGACATAATGTTCAGTTGGCATGTACCCATATGGTTTACCCCCAGAGGTGTCCAAAATAGAACTGTAAGTTTTCAATTAGAAAGAAGAGAAAATATTTGAGAAAGAAAAAACATGGACATTCTTCAGACTGGCTCACCCTTTGGTGACAGATGAAAGCAACAAACTATTCTCAAAGAAGCCTTCCTACTTTTCCAAAGACGGCATTCCATGTTTATGTTTGTTCTCGTGTTGTTTATAAAAGGTTTATGGTTCAATGAGAAAAAATATTTCATGGCTGAAAATTACGGAGATCATTTTTATTTTAGGTCTTACAGAACCCTAAGATGCAGTAGGAATTAGTGTGTGTGTGTGTGTGTGTGTGCATTTGCTTCCATTAATCTAAGACAAAACTAAATATTTTTTTCTCCAAAATGTATTTCAGAGCCCTGATTGCATCTCAAATGGAACCAACATTTGCCAGGAATGTTTTCCCCTGTTTTGATGAGCCAGCTCTAAAGGCAACTTTTAATATTACAATTATTCATCACCCTGAGTATGTGGCTCTTTCCAATATGCCACAGCTAGGTAAGTAATGCTCCTGCTACTGTATAAATCTGAAGACATTAGCTTTCGCGTCAGCTTCTCTAGGCAGTGTCAGTGGCCTACATCATCTGTAACTGTGGAGAGCAGTCACACGAGACAAGTATTGACCCTTACACTAGAGAAGGTAAATCCCTGCTCTTTCTGTATGGGAATCTGGGGACATGAGACTGTCTCTGCACACGGACAGTCTACCTGCCCATTAGTCAGTGCTTACTCTGGGCCCTTATTGATTGATAACAGGCTGGGGCTGTTGGTCTGAACTGAGACATAGATGTATTTTCTTTACCTTGGGAGACTTCCTCATCCTGACTGCATTGGTTTCTAACTTTTAAAGAACCAGAGAGATCATATAAAAATCTAGACCTTTGTTTCCTTGGTAACGCCCACACTCAATTAACATTGGGCCTGCAGTAGTTACATGACTTTAATGAATGAAAGCTGAGAAAAACAGCCTTTTCCTGACTGGGGCCGAGCCACCACGAGAGTCTAGGTGTTACTATGTACTATCCCATAAACACATCAGATGGCTAGCCCTCACCACCGTCTGAGTTTGTGATTTTAGCTTTAGTTTCCAGATCACTGCTGCTGCTGACTGCTCTAAAACCTGATAAAGGTGGAGCTGCAGTTTCTGATTCCCTTGGCACTCAGGCAGCTCTAGATCAAGTGTTGTGAGAAGCGTGCTAAGCTGGGAAATAGAAGTAGGTAGAAGAGAGAGGATATCGATTGGGGATAAAAGTTGCAGTGCTCATGGGTCTGACATTTGGTTAAGCTCTCATCACTCAGGATGCTGATCACTTAGGCCTGCCTAAGATCCCATCCTTGCATCCTTCGAATGTACTCTGAATTTATTTTAAAATTATGATAATCATTGTACAGATTTATGGGATAAAGTGTGATGGTTTGATTCATTTATGCAGTAGGTAACGATAATACTGGAGTAGTCGTCATTAAAATAGAAAATACCTTAGAATAGTTCTGGGGGTTGTGGAGATGTCTCAGTTCATAAATGCTTGCCGTGGAAGCATGACGATCTAAATTTGACCTCTGCCACCCATGTAACAGCCTGGCATGGATGAAGGCAACTCTAATCTCAGTGCTGGGGAGGCAGGGATTGGGCTTCCCCGGGGACTTGCTGGTCAGCCAGTCTAGCTGAACGTGGGAACTTCATGTTTAGTCAGTGTCCCTCTCTCGTCAAAAGACGAGATGGAAAACAATTGAGCGAGATGCTCAGTGCTGGTCTTTGTAAACGTGCATTCGTGCGTGTGTGCACACTATGTACACATAGAAATGCTTTTGAATGGCATAATAATTTTGCATGTTTTTGAGTCACAGTGTGGTTATTTCAGGGGGTTTAACATTTTTATCTCCTTATTGCTGGCTTTGTGTTAGCACCCTGGCGTGACAACTGTTTACAGTAACCTGAGGTGGCATTGATGGCTTAGAGAGAAGAAACTTAACCTAGACTATAGGGAGTAATTAGGAAGGAATGGCTTGTTGACAGCTGTTTCTAGGTTGCATATTATCTACGTTTACAGTGATTTGGACTAAAATATCCCCCCAGGTAAGTCTGAAAGAATCGATGTGAATGGAAGCAAATGGACTGTCACGACCTTCCACACCACACCCCGCATGCCAACTTACCTGGTTGCACTCACCATATGTGACTTCGACCACGTCAGCAGAACTGAGAGAGGCCAGGAGGTGAGTAGGGAAGACTCTGCAGATGGGGAGCAATGTTCTGGCTGCATGCTATTCACCTACTGTCACCTTCTGTGTCCCACTGCCAAGTCCCATGGAAATGTGGCTTTGCAGAATATGATGTAATGAGATGGGTGTTGCAGCCTACACTTGTAATCCCAGCATCTGAGAGACCAAGCCTGAGGCTAACCTGGGCTACATAGTGAGATCCTGTTTCCTTTCTTGTCATTAAATTTAAAAAGGGGGAAGGTGGAGCTGGAGAGATGACTCAGTGGTTAAGAGCACTGTCTACTCTACCCAAGGTCCTGAGTTCAATTCCCAGCAACTACATAGTGGCTCACAGCCATCTATACAGGGATCTGATGCCCTCTTCTGGCATTCAGGCGTTCATGCAGAAAGAGCACTCGTCTACATAGAATGAATGAATGAATGAATGAATGCTTTAAAAAAAGTGTGTGGTAGGGATGGGGTTAAGACATACTATTCCCTGATAGCTCTATGTACCTCTTTCTCTGGAAAGACTTCATGTTAAGCCCAGTCTTCAAGGCAGTTTCTAATCACCCACTTCCTTTCCCTGCTTTCCTAGAGGGCAGGAGAGAACAGACAATGGCTGAACTAGCCCTGGGAGGCATGTTGCTTACTGGGCCAGATTCAAAATGTTTAGCAACCAGGATAAGCCTGGGACTGACCAATGCCCAGGAGCAATGTAACCCTTGGAGTGGCAAGAGCAGGTTCACTGTCATTCCTATTTAGAGGCTAGGCCCTATGGGCATCCCACAGCTCTGGGTGGACAACAGTTACTACAGTCATGTAAAGTGAGATGAGCAGGCTTTGGCCTGAAGTCCTTAGTTTTTGTCTAGTTGTATTCACAAGAGCTTCAGGAAGTATCATGGTTATCACTGTAGAGGTAACTAAGGCCAATGCCTTATGTTCAGTCCTTTCTGAGTTTCTTGGCTTCACTGGTGAGAAGGGTCGAGCTGTGCAGCTAGCTAAGCATCCCTCGGGTTGGCCTGAGATCTTCCAGGCCCATACCATTGATGGATGGAGACGAGGCAGCTGGTGGGGAGCCAGGCTCATCATGGGGAGAGAACAAGCCAAAGCACCACTTCAGTCCTCGGGCCTAATGAATCACTAGTACAGTATTGGATGCGAACAGCGGCTTACCATCATCCTGAGCTGCTGCCTCCTGGCCCTGTTCCTCCTGCTGAAAAATTAATTACTAGGAGATCCTTGACACTCGCAGACGTAACACTGGCCCAGTCAGTAATCCATGGCAAACATCAATTAATCTGCTTAGGTATGACTTAGAAACATGATTTGAGCCTGACAAGAAGAAGCAGACCTCTCATTTTCCATAGCTAATGAGAGATCCAGGGTGGTCCCTCACACCCACACCAAATAGCCTGCGGTCTGGTACTCTTCTCAACCCAGCAATTCCTGTGAGAAGATAAAATCAGTTTACTCCCAAAAGACCACCCTATTATAAAGAATGCCAGTTGCCATAGAAACAAAAAGGAAGACAAGAAAGTTATGCTCTTGGCCAGAAAAATGAGGCTTTGGGTTGAGTTTATCAGTGGAGTGCTCTGCTTGGCCATGGCTGAGCACTACAAAGTGAGAAAATCTACTGTGTGTTCTGCGAGGTGTACAAAATGCAAGGTTGGAAGAGTGTCCAGCTCATCCCCAAATTACCCGTTCAGTAAGAGAGTGTGGTTAGATAGAGCCTGAGGATAAACAGAGGACACAGCGTAGGGATGGAAGTGGCTAACTTGGTAGACTTGGGCAGTGTAGCTAAGTGCAAAGCAACAATCTCTGATGTCTAGAACTTCCATGTCCAGTGAGGGCTACACAGAACACACAGGTGGGGCAGGTGTGATGTTGAAGGAACCTTACAGCTATATCTCAAATGGTCCTTATTAGCCCATGTTTTTTGCTCCCTTCTAGGGGTGACACACCTTCCCAATCCAATATGAAATTCCATCATTCATCTTGCTTTGGGCATGCAGAATGGTCTTTTGTGGAAGGAGAGTCATAAACTGGAAATTAACGAGCAAACATTCATGGATGGTGCTGTTATTTTACCAAAGACTACAGCTAAGACACAGATTGTATCCACTTCCTCCATTCTATTGAATGGCCTTTCCAAGTCTAACAGGCTTCCTAACATTAGTCTCAGAAGCTGTAAATTTAGCAGGAAAGCAGATCCAAGGCCTAAAGCCATCCTTTTCAGCTAAATAAGGCATGTGGAGCCCAGGGGAGGGAGAGATCAGTAAGGGAATCCTGGCTAGAGTCTCTAAAACAGGTGGTTGCATTTTGTGAACAAGGAACATTTCCAAACTCTCACGTAATTGAAAATTCATATAATTCAAGACAAACTTCCCAGAAATAAGCACACAGTGAGTTGAATCTGTTCCTGCAAAGCATGTTCCTGTATTGTGCTGTCTCTCACTTTTCTTAGCCTTTTTGGATAAGGTTCTGCAGAGGGCACTTTTTTTAAGTTAGTAGAACTCACGTAAGAACTCATGGGGCTGTGTAAGTCCCATAGCTCTAACTTTCATCCTACAGACTTTCATTTTCATGCATCTTCCTTGGCATCGACATGGACAAGTCTCAGTTCTATTAAAATTTCCTTGCAGAGAGAGAGGTCATAGAGAGTGAGGTTCTTCTGCATCACAATGGTGCTGCATGTCGGAACAGGAGCACGACATAGTCACTAAAACCACATGCACATTGTCGGTGCCAAACGACAGCATGTTTACATGAAAAGGACATTAATGGGCAGAGCAATCTCTTCCTGTGCCAATAAGTTCAAGTCTATTCCTTACTTTCTTTTCTATGAGATTCATGGTGACTTGCCTTATGTTGATATTCTTGATCCATCTGGAATTTGAGTTCTATGCAGAGTGATGGGTAGGTGTCTATTTTTATTCTACATGCAGCTTCCAGTTTGACCAGCAATTATAGAATTTTAAAATAAAAGTTAATGTAACATACACCTGGGATGTTGCTGTTAGTGCTTTGCCTTCTGGGATTGTCTCAGCACGTCTATGAGCTCAAACATTATAAACACTGTCTTAGTTACCTATCTATTGCTGTGATGCAACACTGTAATCAACAGGGAAACAGCGTGGGGTTCACATCTTAATCCGTAAACAGGAGGCAGAGAGAGAACACTGAGAATGTTGCAAGTCTGTTGAAACATCAAAGCCCATCTCACAGTGACACAGCTCAACAGGGCGCACTTCCTAACCCTTCCCAAACAGTTCTACCAAGAGGGGACAAACATAGGAGACTACGGGGGCCAAAACCACCATAGGCAATTAACTGCTTCTGAAGCTATAAGGCTTCAGTTCCATAGTAGCAGGGAGTTGGAATGAGCAGGATGACCCTTTTCAAAGGCCAATGTTGCTCTACCTAATTATTATTTAATCATTTTAATTTAGATACGTATCTGGGCCCGGAAAGCTGACATTGCAAGTGGAAAGGCAAACTTTGCTGTAAACATCACAGGTCCCATCTTCTCATTTCTGGAGGATTTGTTTGATATCGATTATCCACTTCCAAAAACAGGTGAGGCATTTCTGTTCTACAGGCCATGAGTCAAGATCACATGATATATCTGTGAGCCTTCAAGGGTGTATTGCAGCCATTTGGAGCTATCCTCATGACCATTCACCTTCGGAAACACACAGAGATCTGTCTGTGCTTTATCTGGTGCTATGTATCTAGTATATCAAAACTATTTTCCTCATGGGTGCCTAGTGGCTCCTTCTCTAGACTGGGCTTAAAGAAAACTCTCTTATATATAGCTTTTCTCTGCAATGTCACTGTACAGTGCTGGGCCCTGAGTTCTTTCAGTTACAGAGTTGCATGACTTATTCTGGTGTCTTCCAGTAAGATTTTAGATATTCCTTAGTTGTGACTCACTGGCTTATTACTTGTCCCATCTGTAGACTTCATCATAGAAATTGGAATCATGTGTGAGTATAATATCCTTGAGGACTTATTTAAGCACTTTATCTGTCATAGATCTGCATGATATGCCCGTAAAGTTCTGTGACTCGCTCAGCTCAGAAAGTTACTCAATGTGGTTTTTCTTCTCTTTAAATTGTGCATGTCGTGAAAATTTCTTTTGTTCCTCAAACATGTTTCTGATATCTTGGGAACACTATGCTCTGCCTATACAGGCAGATGTCAGAAGAGGGTGGGGAGAAAATATCTGGGGTGTGATGCTCTCTCCACAGAGCCTCTGCTGTTCAAGCATTTAGCTTAGGGAAAATAAAGAGTGAAGGGCTAGGAAGCAGCTGAAGCCAGGCCAGAAACCCCAGTTTGCCTGTCACATAGGAGCTGGGGACAGCAGGCATCTGGCCTTGCAAACCAAGTTCCTAGCTTTTCTGTGCTAGAAGTGCTTAAGGCAGCTAGTCCTTTCCCAGTAGAAAACCACTACCACCAACAACAACAAAACATCTTTAATGTTCATTAAGTGACTCCAGGGTCACCCTTGTTCTTGTATGGCATCCTGTCCAGTCCCTGAGACATTCTTTCTCCCCCCCCTGAAGCCCTGCCACTTATTGCTCCCCCAATGTACAGCATCAGCATCCTTACCAAACCAGTCCTCATGTGGGGTCACCCTCCAACCAGCCCTTCAATGTGTAGCCAGAATCATTCCAGAGAAATAACTGCTTCCCGTTACAAGGATGAAGTCCGAATGCCGATGATGTCTTTACAGTGATATACCAACCTATTCCAGGAGTTGTACAATTCCCAACCATGATTGTTTGCCCTAGCACAGTCTCTGCACTCTCCGCCACCCTCCAGGCTCTTCACACCATACACATTTTTGTTTTTGTTTTTACTTAACTTAAATGGATGATTCACCTTTCCTATTTGTCAGCTCAGACAGAAATGGTCTTTGGCAGGAGGATTGATGAATAGTGATACATTCACACAATAGAGGACTATACAGCAATAAAAACAAAACACCTTTCTACAGTTTAAAACAAAAGTAATTGTATATGATGAAATAAATAGAAATATGTTCAAAGCAAGGGAATATTAAATATAAGATATGACAGAAAACAGAGTATGAAGTTGAAATTTTTATCACCTGGCCTTTTACAGAGAAAGTTGGGCAGCTGCAGCCAGTTCTAAAGAGTTAGGTGTTAGACCTGTGGTTACTTCTATTGTTATTTTGAAAAAATTAGTTAGATGTTTGTATAAAATAGTGCGGGGTCATATGGGAAACAATGACGAGAATTTGTTTTGTAAAACCCAATGATTTTGCTTAATTAAATTTTATTTATTTGATGTTTAAAAATGTTTAGAAGATAGTCACTAGAAGGGGCCTAGCAAGGTGGCTCAGTGGGTAGATATACTTGCTGCCAAGCTTGACAACCCAAGTTCAGCCTCCAGGATGCAGAGTGGAAGGAGGGAACTGACTCCCTTGGGTTTTCTTCTCATCTCCACATGCCTATGATGGCACCTGCATGAGAGCTCACACACGTGCGTGCACAGACACACACACATGTACATGCACACACAGAAAAAGATCTAATTTCAAGAAATTTTAAGGTTAGTCATATATATATATATGAAATAATTTCTTATGGCTGTCAGGGCCAGACTCTGGGTGTTGATAGCATCCATCTTTGTGGGGAGGGGGAGGGGGAGTCTGATTTTCAAGACAGGATCTCTCTGTAACCTTGGCTGTCGTGGACTCGCTTTGTAGAGCAGGCTGGCCTGATAGAGATCGCCTGCCTCTGCCTCCCCAAGTGCTGGGATTACAGGTGTGCACCACTGTGCCTGGCTAGTATCCATCTTTTGAGGAGGTCGTTTCCTGGGATAGCAAGCAGAGTTAGTTAGCAGAAGATGTCTTGGGTCAGCAAAAGGAATTGAATTGGGCAGGGTTGCATAGTCTTTTGCAAGGAGTATACAGCTTGCGGTAAGCTAAGTGTTGGGGAGGAGGAGGGATGGACAATGTCATTTAAGGCTACTAAGTCTGCTGTGTGCTCTGACGCACATGACCCACGGGGCCAGGGAAGGACCAGGGGATCGTAGTGGGGCAGCGCTTCATGAATTTAGCCCATTTTGTCTTTTTATCGTTGACTTTTGAAATCTTTCTAGATTTTGAACACAAGTCTCTTATCAGAAACATTTGATCTTTATGTGATTTTCAAACAGTTGTAATAACTTATTTTACGACTCCAGTGTTAGGTTTTTAAAAAACAACTTTCTCTTTACTCAGGCTACAAATTTTCTCTTATCTTTTTTTTTTTCAGTAACCTACGACTTTTTTTGTTAGACAAAATGATTTAATTTTTTTCCTACTTAAATCCATGTAGACATAGTTGCCTTGCCTTCTTTTGACAACCGTGCAATGGAAAACTGGGGACTGCTGCTATTTGATGAAGCATATTTGTTGCTGGAACCAGATGATGATCCAATAGCGAAAAAGGCTACGATCTTGGCTATCATCTCCCATGAGGTTGGGCACCAGGTGTGTGGTGAAATGTTCTTTATCATGGGAAGGTGTCTTCTAGCTGTTTTCCTCAAAGCAGCAAACCCCAGAAATACCAACCACACAGCAGATTTGGGTGAGTAGGGGAGACCATATTGACGTGTATTACTGTGCACTCAACAAGGAAGGGTCTATGTGGTATCGGTCCAGCTGAGTCCGAGCCATTGAGGTATTGAGAACCCTTTTAATTTTATTCTGGGAAGATGTTCAGTGGATGTGGCCAGTGTGTTAGCGAGGAGCGTATGAGGGCTCAGACTACATCCACAAAGGCTGTAACCAGAACACGCATTGTCAGCTTCATAGTGTGACCTAAAAGTCTGGGCATTTGACTTGATGAGAGTCTCACGCCCACATTTTAGTTTCTATTCCATTAACACAAATGTGTCAAGCAAGAAATAACCTTAAGTATGACAGTGGTACTTTCTTATTTGTGTGACCCCCACAAGTTTTAGAAAAGACCAAATAACACCCTGGTGACACAGTCCACATACTCCCATGAGTTTTGATCGGTTGTCCCAAGTGTCATTTCTTATTGTCACCTAAGTGACAATTTTAAAATAACAAGGTGCTAACAACCTCTGTAAGAATTTAGTTAGATTCTGAGACATGGATTTATTGATTTGTGGACTTGGCTTTTCCCTTCCAAAAACATCTCTACTTTTTCCTGCCCTGTTCAGCTCAAATAGAAAATAACGCAGCAACAACATATTACGGAGCATACCCTTGCCTGAGCGATTTATATGGCTGAATTGCAATCTAAAAATTCAGTATCCACTTCCAGCAAAGTCTTGCTTAGAGTATAAGGTGCAAAAATAGCAGGGGTAAGTGAGAGTCTAGCTTCACTTCAGCTTCACTGAAGTAAACATAACTCTTGGGCCAAGTTAACATTTTGTATGTTCAGCTAGCCAGCCCTTGTGTTGAAACATCAGTTTTAAAGCAGACTGCTTCCGCTTAACAGAAGTAACTCAGTCATTTCTGAGAGACGCACGGCTAACATCTCATCGTGTGAAGACAGCAAGGCATGTTTGGGAGCCCTGTTCTCAAGCTTTGTTAGTGATGATGAACGACATGTGCACCTTCTTGGCCTTGCGCCTCCTTAGTGTGTATTTGCAGTAAGGCTACTTTAAATTTCAGAAATATCTTCTTCTCTCTCTTGCATCTCCAAAAGTGGTTCGGAAACCTGGTGACCATGAGCTGGTGGAACCATATCTGGCTCAATGAGGGCCTTGCATCTTACTTTGAACTTGGAATAATTAACTACTTCTATCCTAAACTTGCAAGGGTAAGTAATTTAAACATTTACTCCCAGTTATAAAAATAATGCATAGTTACTGTTGAAAAATCTCTAAAGCACAGACAAATCTAACAACTACCAAATTACTAAAACTCTCATCAAAGATAAATTATGTTGCTTTTCATGGTTTTTTTTCTTTTCTGCAAGCTTTTTACTATTTTTGTTTAAATGATATTTATATCAGAACTGCTTTTGGCTTTAAAAATTTGATATTTATTTACTTACTCTTATGTGTGGAAGGCTGCATATGCCAAAGCATACATGTGGAGGTCAGAGGATGACTAGTGGGAATCCATTCTCTCCTTCTAACATGTGGATGCAAGGGATCAAACTCAGGTTGTTAGCCTTGGGGGCAAGTGTCCTTTAAAAGCATCTCATCAACTGTGGATGGAGATTTCTAAGGTTGGTGTGGTGAGGCGGCTGGTGTGGCAGGTGAGTTAGCAGGCAAAGGCACTTGTTTTGAGTCTGATAAGCTGGTTTCGAGTTCCAGAACCCCCCACTTAAAGGTGAAAGAAAGGACCCAATTCTGGGCACTCTCACACATGTCATGGGTAACAGAATAATTTTAGAAGGTTTCTAGTTTGTCTTCACACCATATGACGCCATGGATATTCTATGTATCAATAAATCCACTTGGAAACCAAGAGCTTTTTCTGTATTTGTGAACCCACGGTGTTAGGGAAATGCTGAGACAGAGCAGCCACTTAACACCCCGACCCACACATCCTCCTCTGCCCTTTCCACAAGACCTGGAATATGCTCCCTTCCCTATCCTGTCACTCATCCGTCCTTCCTTCTCTATACCGAGCATGGCTCCTGCTGTACTGGAATGGAGTTTGGGTATCATTCAATAGGCCAGGGAAGTGAAGAGTTTCAATAACTTACCTGAGATCATTTCCTAACTGGAACACAGGTGGGTTTAAAACCTGTTGTCTGGTACAGTCTGATGGCCAAAATAATGATGAGGGGGAGAACGCTGGACTTGCCATTCACTAGCTTTTCAAGCTCTAGGGCTCTTGGCCTCTCAATTTCTGGCTGTGGTATTTGCTACTCAGTGCCTTCTCTCTTTCCTTTTCTGCCTGGTCCAGGAAAGTGGCAGGCATGGCGATGGACCTGACTGCAACTTCCTTGTGTGTAAGCATGGCGAGACACCATCTCAAGCAAAGAAGCTGATGACATGATACTTTGTAGGCGTCTTGTTTCTAAAAGAGTAGGTTTTTGACACTAAGGTTGAGGTTGTCAGGTTGACATGGTCTAGAATCACCCAGGAGCCAATCTTCTGGGTAATGTATTTAAGATTATATATGAGCACATATAAGATTAGCCCTCGGGTGTGCCTATTACCTAGAGTATGTTTTTATCTCTTTTTATTATTACCTAGATAAGGTTATCTAGAGTCGATTAATTAAAGTGGAAATATCCACCTTAACTATGTGCGGTACCATGGGCCAGGGGCCTGACTGAATTAAAAAGAGAAAGTGAACTGACCACTAACATTTATCTCTGATTCCTGACTATCCATGAGATAGAAGTAGCTGCCTTGAGCTCCTGCTGCTGTGACCACCAAGCTACGGTGAACTGTACACCCAAGCCATAAACCAGGACAAACCCGTTCTTCCTTAATGTGCTTTTGGCAGTATATTTTGTCACAGAAATAAGACAAGTAACTAATATAAACCTAATTAATGGCATTACTAATCCAAACTTAAGCTAGGTATACAAAGGAGTTGATCAGAACATTGACAAATGGAAATAGAGCAGGATTCGAACATTTCCTGGACACTGATGTGGTCTGGGATAGTCAGCGTGGACTTCCAAGCAGTCCCTAGGGATTTTAGGCTTCCTGTGGCTGTCAGGGTGCAGTGTGGGTGCTCCTGTAGCTCTGTGTAACTCTCTCCTAGTCTCTACTGTCTTTCTTTTTTCTTCCAACCCAAATTCCTCTTGGCTGTAAATTAGCTTTCTTTCTAGCTTCACATCAGAGAAAACTTGTTCTTGCCATGTGCCCGAGGAAAAGCCAGTGTCTTGGACAGTCCAGTGGCTCTCAGTTCAGTGTCATGAACTGCTGTTTCAGAATGCATGAACTGCAGATAGTTGTATCTAGTCTGTGGGTTTCTTTCCAGTTGTAAGCTATCATGTTGTCAATTTATAAGCCTCGTGTGCTTTTTGCTTTGTAAATATGCATGAAAAAATACCAATAAATTTCAAGGATCCACTGATAAAATTGACAATACAATCTAGTGGATTGGAACTATATAGATGCTGATAAGAAATACATGGCTCTTAGGAATCACATTTTTCTGTATTTCCCATCTTAAAAATCAAAGTAAATGAGAGAGCGCAGGAAAGAAAGGCCTATAGTTTGGTTGCTTAGGAAATCTGATTTTTGAGGCATGTTGTAACTTGGACATTTTCTTTTTCAGTTATTCTTTCCCCCATTTCAGTGTAAGTTTCGGAAGCTAGCCTAGGATACATTGGATTTTGTATTTCGGTAACTCAGAAGTTAATGTGGCTCCATCTTTTCCTTTGCAGGATGTGATCTTTTTTTTCCGCACTTTACATGGTGTTCTCGGAGAAGACCATGCCCTGGAGTCTAGAGCTGTGTCCACTGAGGTGGACAACTTCACAGAAACCAGGGATATAAACGAACTCTTTAACCTATATACTTACAGCAAGGTAAAAGCACAGTCATGTTTCCTTCTGTTCTCATGTAGAGACTTGTGTAAAATGGGTTCCAGGGCTATGAAATGCTACACACTTCAACTGTGGGATAAAGTAACTTTACTTTTATTGACTAATAGAGATCAGAAGATGCTTTAAAGTCATATGTCATTTAGCAAATATTATTAATGAGGTCATGTTAGATATTGGGCACATCCAGTATTATAAACAGACTTGTATACCTTGATGCTTTAAAGGCAAACTTTTCTGTCTGTTTGTCTGTCTCTGTCTCTGTCTCGGTCTCTCTCTCTCTCTCTCTCTCTCTCTCTTTCTCTCTCTGTGTGTGTGACATGTATCACTATCACACATGTGATACCAGAGGACAACCTTGGGTGTCATACCTCTGGAACCATCAACCTTGTTTTTCTGAGACCTGTCAGTCATTGGCATGGGTTTGCTGATTTGGTGAAGTGGGGTGGTCAGCAAGCACCAGGGATTTTCCCATTTTTGCCTCCCAGTTCTAGGATTGCAAACACCACATGCATAGCTTTTGTACATGGGTTGTAAGGATGGAACTCAGATATCCCCGCTTGCTTGCATAGTAAGCACTTTACTGACGGAGCCAGCTTCCCAGCTCCAAACTTCTGTTTTGTAGAATTTTATTCTCATACCCAAATATAATAATTTAAGGTTTTTGCGTACCCCAGTGCTTTATCTGTAGGGCATTTGCTCACTCTTTACTCACTACTTAGTGGTAGTCTACCGTTTTATTAACGTATTTTGGGGTAATTTGAACAGAGAATTCAAGTGCAAATTGCAATCAGAAGCATAGGATGGAACAGTGTTTATAAAAATGGAATGTGTCTGTGTATAAATACTGAACTTTGTCCAGCTCATGGCAGGTCTGTGTATCCTAGGGAGCGTGTATGGCCCGGATGCTTGCTGGTTTCCTGACCCAGAGCTTGTTTATCAATGCTCTTAAGGTGAGTTGCTGAGAGCGTTACCAGAACAGCAGCAAACATAAATTGCTTTGGCATGCTGTTGCTTTAACCCCAGTTCCTCTGTTTTCACAGTCATATTTGGAGACATTTTCTTACTCAAATGCCGACCAAGATGATCTATGGAGTCATTTTCAAATGGTAATTGTCCCTCTTTGAGACCCTGTCTTGCTGAATAACTTTGACTGATACAGTATGAGATCACAAGGCTGTGAGTGAATGACTGAACCACAGAAATATAACTTATTTATAAAACCCCCTTAGTTCTGAGATGTTTCTTTAGTCTTCACTCTACTTCTATGCTCCAAACAGGGGGTGACCTATTAGGTCCATAAATACGTGCTCAATGAATAAATGGGTGAATGAATAAAGACCATTCATATTGTCAGTCCTCTATGTTCATGGTTCATATCTATATATTCAATCAATCCCAGATGGAGAAACAGAAATATAAAAGGTCCAGTTTGTACTAAACATATATGGTATTCTCTATGGCTACTATTCCCTAAACAATACAATACATACATGTTCACATACTATTTGCACTGTAATGGGTATTACAAGTCACCTGTGCTAATTTGCAGTACTCATGCAGATGTACATGGCTTACATACCAGGCACTGCTCTGTTTTATATAAGGGGCATCAGCATCCATGAATTCTGTATATTTCCATGGGTGTCCTGGAGAAAAAGTCCCCACCTCAGATACCAGAAGAAAGCTGTGTAGAGATAAACAGTTCTGATTATCAACAACTGGGGATTACTGTGTAAAGCGGGGAGAGGGTGGGCATTTCATTTCTTTGGGGGGAGATTGCTACTTCACGAGGTTTTGCTGGCAAATGAATTACAGTCTGCTCATCTATGGCCTGGTTGAAAAGAAAATCATCACAAAACCACATAATTTGTCAGCAACAGTAAAAAGCATAATGGACAGCTGGACATACCAAGGTGGCTTTCCAGTCCTCACCTTGAATGTGACTACAGGTGTTGTGAAACAAGAGCCATTTTATCTTGAGAAGGTTGAGAACCAGACTCTTGTAAGCCACAAGTAGGTTGTTTGCTCCTCTGTGATCACTAGGCTTGGGGTTGAGCAACCGTGGGACAGAAAGCAGCCAGCAGCGAGGAAGTAGAACATTTGCTGGGCACATGGTTGACCCCCTGAGGGTGTTGACTCCCTGAGGTGAGGCAGAACCCTAAGTACTGAGCAAGGCCAGAAGCCTGCAACTAGGGATCAGCATGTGCTCCTTACTTGGGCCTTAGAGGCACGTGAGTGGCCAGAGCATTAGAATCCTATGTTCTCCATTGTCCGTCAGACAGACATATGAAGTACTTGGGATTCTGGGTGAGAGGCAAGAAGATGATGTCACCAGTGTCAGAGCTTCCCCTGCCGCAGTCTTTCTCCCAGTTATAGAGCCTAGAGGTAGCTACAGCTTGAGGGTGCTGCTGCTCATATGTGTACACACTGTGTGATATACATGTGTGCTCGTGTATGTAAAGCCATACCTGTAACTTTAAAATTATGGCCTTTGGGTCTGCTTCAAAGACTGGCTTCCACAGAAGTCGAACTGTATGTAGGTCGTCTTTAAGTCCTCTAAGCTCCAGTTGCATTGTCTGCAACATAGACTGGGGAACTGCTGCAAAACTGCAGCCATGAGTGGTGGCCGCTCATCGCCTTCTCCCTTCTCTCCTTCTGTTTCTTTCCCTAACTTGCTAACTCGCAGCTGGTGTAGATACTTTTGACCCTTACATCTCATTTGAGGTAGATATCAGCACGAATTAATGATTTTCAAATACTATAAAAAAAATGTCAAGAAGGGGCTGGCGAGATGGTGTGGTTTGGTTCCAAGCTTGATGAGATGAGTTTGATTCCTGAAATCAAAGGTGGAAAAGAGACGATGAATGCTACACAGCTGTCGTCTGACTTCCACGCATGTGCCATGCCACATGCATACTGCTTCCCACATTCTATACACAGACACACACACACACACACACACACACACACACACACACACACACACCAAATCAAATAGTCCTACTCTTTCTTCAGAACCCCAGGGAGACAACCGGAAGGGCAATAGACTCTGCAGTGTAATGTTAGCAGACTTTTGAGAAGTGGGCAGACTCTTAGGTATGCAGATAAAAGCAGACTCGTAGCTAAAGGACGGGGATGCCAAATGTGAGAACTGGAAGAAGACTGGAACCAATTGACCAAATTGCGGGTCATTTCTAAAGACTAGTGCAGTCCTTGTGGCCAGCTGCTTCATCTAGTACACACTCACCAGTGTGGGGGGAAAAGGTAGATATTCAGTAAATACAAATGCTGTGGCTGATGCCTGTGAACCCATTTCAAGTTTGAGGCTGAGAAGTATTTTAAAATGTAGGCAGGCTTTGTCTTTCTAAATTACCCTTCACCTCTATGGGCTTGGTCAGATTTGGATCTGTCTGAAGCATCTGAATGACCCAGAGTGAGGCCAGATGGCTATAATTTAGTAAAATCAGCCCTTCAATGTTTCAGACACAGGAAGTCTCAGCAGCTGCCTGTGTTATGAGGAGTAAGAGGGAGGGCCGTGAATAAAGAGTCAAAGTAACATTGGCTAACAGAAATGGCAGTGAGTAATCCCAAGAGCAAAGTCCTGTGTGCCCACCAGCATTGACCATAGAGTTGGAGGTCTGCTATTTTATCATGTCTTTAATTTTGGCTAATTATATATTCTTATGTGTGAAAATAGCTAATTCTTTTCTTTTCTTTCAAAACAGTCACTCATGGATTATCCCTATTTTTTGGATGAAAAATGGAACCACGCAACCTTTAGTCTGGCTAGATAAAAGGAGAAGTAAGTAAATATAATATTTATATATGTATATATAAGTGACTATATATGCATATATGTACACATCTCCATATATACATAAATATAAAAACAGAGATAGACATTTGGTTAAAATATCGAGTTTTTGGAAACCTGATTGTTGAATGCAGAGCTTTAAAGATGTACTTCAATTAAAAGTGATTATACTAGACATATAATATAGGATAAACCTACAAAAATCTGTACACCTCAAGAAGGTGAGCTAGAAGGAGGATCCTGGGTAAGCTGATCAATCCTCACTCAGAAAGGCAAACGGGATGGACATTGGAAGAAGGAGAAAACAGGAAACAGGATAGGAGCCTACCACAGAGGGCCTCTGAAAGACTCTACCCAGCAGTATATCAAAGCAGATACTGAGACTCGTAAACAAACTTTAGCAGAATGCAGGGAATCATATGAAAGAAGTAGGAGATAGTAAGACCTGGAGAGGACAGGAGCTCCACAAAGAGAGCAACAGAACCAAAATATCTGGGCAAAGGGGTCTTTTCTGAGACTGATATCACAACCAAGGACCATTCAGTAATATAACCTAGGACCCCTGCTTGGATAGAGCCCATGGCAGCTCAGTATCCAAGTGGGTACCCTAGTAAGGGGAACAGGGACTGTCTCTGACATGAACTCAGTGGTAGCTCTTTGACCACCTCCTCTGGATGGGGGAGCAGCCTTGCTAGGCCACAGAGGAGGACAATGCAGCCAGTCCTGATAAGACCTGATAAGCTAGGGTCAGATGGAAGGGGAGGAGGACCTCCCCTATCAGTGGACTTGGAGAGGAGCATAGGAGGAGATGAGAAAGGGAAGATTAGATGGGAAGGGGAGGAGGGAAAGGACTACAGCTGGGATATGAAGTAAATAAACTGTAATTCATATAAAAAATAAGAATTTAATTTAAAGAAAGTCATTGTACATGAAAATTTAGTTATATGGCAGACCGATATATATACTGCAGAGCTACCTTTACTTTTATTTTATTGGGCTATTGTTTAGAAGTGTAAACGCATTATATTAAAAAAATGTACTAGAATCTTTTAAAGAACCTTTCCCCCCGCCTCCTCTCTTTGGTAGTGGTATTCCCTGGGATGAAACTTTCAGATTCTGGCAGTGACTGGGTGATTTTGAACTTCAACATGACTGGATACTACAGAGTTAATTATGATGAGTTGGGCTGGAAGAAGTTAAAGCAACAGCTTGAAAAGGATCCTAAGGTACGCACTGGCTTTGGTGTTTTACTTAAGCATTGTCCATCATCGTTTGGAGGAGATGCTTTCTGATGGGAAGCCTCCATCCCATCAGCCCCTTCTCATGACAGAGACAGTTCTATTCTCATTCTTACAAAGGACTGATTTCGGTTAAATGTATATTTTTGAACATTCTTCTTGATTTTTTAAAATAAATTTACCTTTTGAAATGAGATTCAGAATATATTTTCCTTTGTTACTTCAGTGTTTGGTTCCATTTTTCACTTTACAATGAAAATATCATTTGTTGAATACACCAGGAGCATTAGAAGCCATGTAGGTAAGGTGTACCTAAAGTTTCTAGCTCACAAAGGTACACAGTAGGTGCTAAAAATTACTAATTTTTATTTCTAAAAAATATTCTTCTCACTCAAAGGGGTGAATATAATTTATAAAATGTCAATAATCCACTATCACTTTAAATTGTTTTTTAAGTCTATAAATCACGATGAAATCTATGCATGATACAGTGTTGAGAAACTTACAGCAGTCGTTGATTAACATAAGCAAATTCCGTGAATAGAGAAGGGTGCTGACTTAGGAGTCTACATGACTTGATGGATGTGAAACCTTGGGCCATTCACTTAGCTGAAGTGAAATCTGTCCTGAGTTTCTCTGTTGGCGATACAGCAGCCTTCACAGCAATGGAGGATGTATGGCACACTGGCCCAGAGTTTGACCTATGGCTCAGGAGACTTCAGCTCACATTTGCTTATCATTTGCCTAAAGAATGATTGTGGGCTATCATTAGACTAATGTTTCAATTTCCTCATCTTTATAATGGTTGTGATTTTACACTAGCCTAACACTAATCTTACTCTGAGGCTTAAAGCTAACCTTAAAGTGTTCCAATGAAGACCAGGTAAGATGATGCATTATGTTCAATGGAGGCCAGACACAATTCAGGCACTCGAAATATGTTCAGTGACTTAAGCAATAGAAGCCACTTATAATAGTTCCTCTTAAACCCATTTCAAACTAACTAGATTCTTAGTAACTTGACACTGTTATAGATTGATTTATTATTAATAATTAATAATGATATATAATTTATTATTATTATTATTATTAGCTATCTAGGACTCATTTTGTAGACCAGGCTGGCCTCAACATCACAGAGATCTGCCTGCTTTTGCCTCCCCGAATGCTGGGATTACAGGTGTGTGCTACTGCGCCTGGGTTAGACTGATTTATTGAAACATCTGACTAAACTCTATTTCTGCAATACAGTTAGTGAGCAAAAAAGAGGAACTTTGTGTGATCCAAATGTATCTAGAAAAAGTAAGCACTGCAACTGTCACAATGAAATGAGAAGAAGCAAAGGGAGAATTAAGATTGCTGTACTCAAGTGCTTGGGAGTGCTACAAAGATGACTTCCCTTAGACCTAATATATGAAAGTACTGGGAGGTGTTGAAAGAATGACAAAAGGCTTTGGATGCCTAAGAGGACCTAAGTCGAGATGAAAGTCTGCAAGCTGTCAGTGTTGAGATGAACAGAGAGAGCCCTGTAGACTTAGGCTCATGACTGGCTTGTGCCTCTTCACGAATCCAGAGCACTGGGTCACATTAGTGAAATCTTGAGAGTGCAGATATTATACATAAATAATTATCACAAAAGTAATATTAGTAAGTAATAACATTAATAATAAAAAGTATTACAAAATAGTGCTAAATAAAAATTATTTACTGTCTGGTATGCCAGAACTTTCCTGAAAATCAGCAAGACATTGTAATAGCATTCAGTATATACATTCTGTTTTGGAGAAGTTTTTTTAAACCTCAGTTGCAGGCTGTGTGTGTGTGTGTGTGTGTGTGTGTGTGTGTGTGTGTGTGTGTTTTAACATGGTATGTTTTAGGGGAGTATTTTGGTAAATTGTCTGCCATGTGTAAGCATTATAATTGATCCTAGAAGGATCTCTTATCAGAACCACTTATCTAGTAACAATGGGTTGTTCTTAGCAGCCACTAGTTCTCTACCTGTGAGACAATTTCTTAGGAAGGAATTTTCAGGCACTGATGATCTTGAAGTTGCTATTTTGAAAATATCTTTCTTTTTTTTCTTGACCATGCTTGGGTTTCTTTCTGCAGGCCATTCCTGTCATTCACAGGCTGCAGCTGGTGAGCGATGCTTTTGCCTTGTCTAAGTAAGTGTCTTTTCTGCTCTCACTGTTAAAGGGCATGTCTTGAGAACTTTATAAAAGTCATAGCATCATGACAATGAAATTGGTTCTTTGCTATGCACAGGCCTTAACTGACTGAGGGCATGACTGCTTGAACCTGTAACTTGGCTCCTGGGAGACTGATGTAGGAGGATTGCTAGGAGAGAACAAAATGCAAATAAAAAAAAAACCTAGGCAAATAAATATATGATTAGGGCCAAATTCTATGCTTTCAGTGGAATTTTATAGCATAAATTGTTGTTTGATATAAAGACTAGCAACTGAGATTTTGAAGTTACTCAAAGGTGATGGCTGATGGCTATAATGGTTAAGAGATCTGAGTTATATTTTGATACAGTGCAGAATTATAAATTATATACATTTATGTACTAGATCAGTATAAGCCATTCCAAGTGTTTGACCAGAAATATTATTATGTGTTCAGGATTTAAGTTTTCAGACAATAAAAGTTTATATATATATATATATATATATATATATATATATATATATATATGTGTGTGTGTGTGTGTGTGTGTGTGTGTGTGTATAATTACCTAGTGTGTCATTTATGCCTGTCATATGTGTTGAGTATATCTTATTTCTTTACTGACTGTACCTCTGACACCTGTTGTGCAACACTTGGCTGAAATGCCTCTCTACAGTCACTATGGCATGAGTATTACTGGCCAAATCCTCCTAGAATCACCATTTTGGCCTCTTGACGCTTTGACATAGAAACTTGACTTTCTGACTTCATTTCTTCCTATCACTGTGGACATCCTTAAGCCCACTCATGTTTATGTTTTCCTCCTTCTTTCTTTTGGTGACTCATTCCATCTTATAATTTAAATGATTATTTTATTACGTACAGGCTCAGTAAGATGCTAAGACACTAGAACATAAAGAGTTGTGTTCTAAATGGACATCACTCCCTTTTTTCCCCCTTATCTTGTGTTTATACTGTAGTCATTTCAATTCATTACCTCAACCACCAAATTTTATTTTGGGCTCTAAGTTGTTACTGCTATTTATCAATCAATCAATCTCCCTCTGTGTGTATGTATGTGACATGTATTACTATTATTCTCATTGTCAAAACTTGAAACCTTATTATCCCTCTTTCCATGTCTCATGCTCAGGCCCTCATCATGTCATATCTACTCATTCTTGGTAATACCTTCTGAATTTTTACCTAACTACTTTCACTACTTATACACTAAGCCACTACCACCATCTTTCATCTGGTCTCCTGTCTTAGCTCTCAGCCTTTCATTCCTTTGAGTTTCTTTATGACTTCAGCATTGTAACAATAGAAGTTTTAGGCATCGATTCTCTCACATTATTTTCGTTACTTAAAAATCTAGGTTTACTTCGCAACAAATGTTAACTCTTTATCCTGATTTTCAATGATCTCCTTAGGTTCTAAACACCTGATTCATTATCTTTGTCTCTCACTAGACACAGAATGACCTAATCCACTAGTTTTACCTCTCACTAAACATAGACTGTCCTGTCTATTGGCTTTGCTAGCCCATCACAGTGCTCCCCAGTGTTCCTCTTTTGTTCTGTGCTGCCTTCTCTGCCCTTTTAAGTCACACATGGCCTTTGATGCTCTTCTTAATTGTTCCTCTCTCTGACTTCCTCTTTCCCCCTTACGTATCTGTCTATGTTTCTGCTTTGGGAACTTTATCCTCAGTAGTCATTCCCCTTTTGGGGATGCCCTCCTTGACTTTCTAGTACCAGCTGAACTCTTCCTCAAAGCTCTTAGCTGCAGGCAACTTCAGTGTCACACGGTGGTTTCTCTGCCCACCAGCGGCTGGCAGAGGGTTAGACTGAGAATGCTTAGCATAGGGGCCTGTTGAGTGGAATTTATATTGTTGTAAAAACACATAATAAATACTCAATGTTCCATTACTCAACGTTTGGCCTGGGTTTTTTTTACAGCTTCTAATGTGGCTGCTTGAATGAACTAAGTGAATAGGAAAGCCTGGCATTATTTGTTGAGTTCTATGTTATAAATATAATGAGACCTTTGTCACTCTTCTACTTGTTTTGTTTTTACATCTTATTGAAGTTAAACATTGAAAAATGGAACAGATATGGATAGAGAAAAAAAATCATTTAGTAGGTCAAGGTTTTTTGAGTGTGTGTTTTTTTTTTTATTTTTATTTTTATTTTTTGAGTGTGTGTTTTTTTTTTTAAACCAAACAGAAACAATTATCTTGAGATTGAGACAGCCCTTGATTTAACCAAGTACCTTGCTGAAGAAGATGAAGTCCTAGTATGGTTTGAAGCCTTGGTAAACTTGATAAACAGGAAAGTTATTTATGATGTGAACAACTATGCCTTCCACCCATTATTGAAGGTATGGGTACCCATTAATAATTCTACCCATTATTTCATGCTTCAGTATGTGGTTTTTAAATCAACCCTTATTTTCTCTTTCTATATTCTGGCCAGCATCTGTGGGACAGGCCTTTCCAAGCAATGTTCTATTCATTCCAGATGTTTGGTGATTTATTTCTTTTTAGCTACAATTGATTGTTCTTAGCCATAGCCCTTGTGTTGCAAATGAGTGAGGAAGAAACTTGGCAGAGTTTTTCATTCTTGGTTAAAGTGAGAGTGTATCTCTCCCCAATACCCCTCCCCCCAAAAAAGTAGGAAGAAAAGAAAGAAAGAAAGAAAGAAAGAAAGAAAGAAAGAAAGAAAGAAA